GACATACATGTTCTATAAATTTTAGTATTATTGTAGCTCATGCAAGTCACACCTTCAGAAGGCAGTGTGCTGTGTGTTTTTCCAAGTATCTTCCAAGCTACCTTTTTTGGTTTAAATGTTGCTGATGTTTGATACTAACTACTGTTTGGAAAGCTGTGTGGTCCTGACAGAGGGAAAATGGTGTTTTGTTAGTCAGTCTCCATAAAATCCTTGGATGTTAAGCCTTAACTTTCTTCTATTTCTGTCTGTGGAAGCCAGTTTGGTTCTTCTGATGTCTTCCACCACCCCCCACCTCAAAAATGTTGCCTTAAGCAGTCGTATAGAATTTGCCAATAAAGATACCTATAAATACAAAGTTAAGGGTGCTCTGCAGAATCTCGATATTCTTTTCCTTGTTTAAAAATGGAAAATAAATCTATTTCCAGACACCAGCTAGTGTCTACTGCGTATGGCTTACTCCGGGCATGCTACACACCGTCTGCATGTGAGTAGCCCTCTGCCTTTGTAAGACTCTGTTCAGATTCCAGTCTACATGGGATAGTCCCAGTTCCTATCTCTACTTTGAGAGAGAGTCCACAGATTGACTTTACATGGGTGCAAGAGAAAGAGGCTCATGGTCTCTGGAGGACCAAAGTCATGTGAGATCTTGGCACTTGGAGAAGCAGATAGTGTGGGGCTTATGGCCTTTTCCATACCCACGGCCCTTATCTTTTGCTCATTCCCTGTTATTCCTACTCTTCTCTTTGAAAACTAACCCTCATATTCTTCATCCTTTATTGCACTACCTCAGTTACTGTGCTCCTCTGTTCTTCTCGCACTTCTGTATTTTCTAGTTTTGCCTCCCAAAGATGTAAGAATATGTAGGTGTTACAAGAACCTCACCGAGAGGAGAGAGTAGTGTCTAGAGGGAATGCCTTCAAGTTTGACAATTCAGAAAAGATTTTCATGTTCTCTTTTCTTTCTAGTTAAGCTTTGCTACCTCACTGATCAAAGGTGCTTGTTAGAGACAATTCTGTAGAGGAACATTAGCTTGTTAGTATTAAGCTATGCGTCCTTCTTAACTAGTAACTAAATAATCAATGGGGCACCAGGGCTACATCTGTACTAATAATTAATAAAAAACAAACAAAGGAGTTAGTCTCTCGGTTTGTGGCCAACTGCTATGTCATCTATTATGTTAATCATAGAATCATTTTGGTTGGAAAAGACCTTTAAGATTAACTGCTAACCTAGCACTGCCAAGTCCATGACTAAACAATGTCCCTAAGCACCACATCTACACATCTTTTAAATACCTCCAGGGATGGTGACTCCACCACTTCCCTGGGCAGCCTGGTCCAATGCTTGATAACTCTTTCAGTGAAGAAATTGTTCCTAATATCCAATCTAAACCTCCCCTGGCACAACTTGAGGCCATTTCCTCTTGTCCTATTGCTTGTAACTTGGGAGAAGAGACCCACACCCACCTGGCTACAACCTCCTTTCAGGTAGCTGTAGAGAGTGATAAGGTCTCTTCTCGGCCTCCTTTTCTCCAGGCTAAACAACCCCAGTTCCCTCAGCCACTCCTCGTAAGACTTGTGCGCTAGAACCTTTGCCAGCTTCGTTGCCCTTCTCTGGACACACTCCAGCACCTCAATGTCTTTCTTGTAGTGAGGGGCCCCAAACTGAACACAGTACTCAAGGTGTGGCCTCACCAGGGCCAAGTACAGAGGGATGATTGCTTCCTTAATCCTGCTGGCCACACTATTTCTGATACAAGCCAGGATGCTGTTGGCCTTCTTGGCCACCTGGGCACACTCCTGGCTCATACTCAATTGGCTGTTGACCAACACCTCCAGGTCCTTTTCTGCTGGGCAGAAAATAATACAATGAAAGTATTTTTAACTCCTCTCTACCACACACAAAGTATTGGCTGTGAATGTCCCTACCTCTACATGTCTGTGCTCTGTGCCCAGGCATTTGTCAAGGAAAGTACTACCTTGGGCCAAAATTGTAGCAGGGACCGTGCTAAGAGTCTAACTGTATTCAGGCCCATTGCTAAGACTTTTTTTCAAGTAAAGAGTTAGCCACATTCTCAGATGTTTAGGGTTCCCCAGTTTGAGGAAAGAGCCCAAGTGCTATTCCTCTTGGAATCTTACATTTGTGAATCAGACCTTGCTGTTGTGTGCAGCTTCTTTGGAGAGCACTAGCCTAATTCTTTGCTTCTGGGATGCAGTTCTTAGAGATGTAGTTTTTCCCTGGAGTACCACTGAGGGTGAGAGTTTGCAGATTTACCATTAACAAGAGACTCATGGCAAGAACAAGCAAGTAAACATCTAAACATGTAGAGTTTCTGAATAAATGCTGCTTTCACTTAATTATGCATTCTTTCACCAGGGAAAAATATTGAACACACTACTGCAAGTGCTCACTCACCTTCCTTTTGGAAGTCCTCAGAGTCTGTGTACGTTCAAGAAAGCAGTGTTCCTCTTAGGGGCTACTGTGATCTCCCTTATATGAGAAGGACAGAGATGATCCAGTTGCCAAGTTCTCTTTCCTCTGTAAAACATCAGAGGCCCTGTCAGTTGATTTCTTGATGAGTCCCTTATCAGATGATCAGATTTCTGCCAATTGACTTTGTTTCCAAGGCAACCACTCTCTTGACAAGCCAGTTCCCTTCAATAGTAGGTAACTTATTTTTTAGAGTAGGATGATTACATTTTAACTGCATAGTTCTTAACAAGATATTGCTGTTTAAGTTTCAGCCCTACATGAAAGTGAAAAGACAACAAAGAAGCAGAACTCTCTAACTAAAATGGAGCTGGCAGCCTGGTAAAGATACATACAGGGATTTTATAATCTCACAAAATTCATAAATTGTACGTACTCCCTAAAGATAAGCCTGCCCACCAGTCATTCTCATTTATGTACATATTCAGTATATTCTTTTTCTGAAAATAATGAGAATTCCAGTTAAGCCGTTTAACTTATGACGATGTTTCCCAAAAGTACAGATAGTTCTGTGAATACCAGCAGTACAGCAATCTGCTTTCCTACTTGTGTAGGCCTCTAAACTGGTTGATACTGGTGTTTAAGAAATTGTAGGTTCCAATCAAACTTTTTTTTTTTTTAACGCAGTTCAGACTTTGACCTGGTCTTATCCTTCATCTCACATATGTGGTGTTTCTATCTGCTAAGTGTTCAGGTTACCACATCCTTTGTTTCAGTGTCTTTTCTATTCAGCTGCTTTTGTTTCCTACAAAACTTGTAGCATTGTTGAGGTTTCTTGGATTCATCCTGTAGATTTACCTTTTAGGGGAAGAGGCACAGGCAGGATATAGTTACAAAACTTTTTTTGATGAAAGCAAACTCAAACGTCCATATTCATATAGGCAGATAGTATCATCATGTATACATATAATTCTGAACATACTGATTTCTGAATATAGCTGGGTTAGTATTAGTTGACTGAGGTTGTTATTCTCACACTTATCCAGTGTCCTTTCAGGTTATAGTCTTGATTTCAGGGATGGCTGAACCTCGTACAATCATTTCTCAAATTTTTAAAGTTTGTAGGACAAGGTGTTCATGGAACCAAATGTTGATTTCTGTTAATACACTGAACTGTATTTAATGTGTGCTGTAGAAACTCTCTTTCTTTCCATCTATTTTAGAGTAGAGATGCAAGCACTTGTCTATTTTTTTTATAAAGCATTCCTTCCCCAGAGGACTAGGAATTGACATATATGAGCTGAAATAATTTCAAGATAGTTTGTGTAAGCATTTGGATTTTGAAGGACTTAAATCCTCATGCTGTAAAAAGAAAGCATTATTCACTGTTAGCCATAATGAAGCAAGTGTTCCTCTGTAATGTGATTGCTTGGGAAATTTTTGACTGATCACAGCTATCCGTTCCCTTTTGTAGGGAAGTGATCTTACAAGAGCTTTGTCTTTTATTCTGTCTCCATCTGTTGATAGGATGACTTCTGTCTGGACTAGCAGACAGGATTTAGGTGCCAATCCAGCAAACCACTTAAACAACAGTTTAGCTTTAAGCTTTATAGCAACTAAATTAACAGGTTAAAAAAAATGAAATAACATTGCTAACACACTATTGTTGTCTTTAGAAGGAAATTTAGGAGATTAGGTTGTATTGGTACATGAACTATAAATGGAATAAGAAGTGTTAAATTAAACATACACTGAGAATACAAAACATAGATTAAGACCTTTGTCTTTAGTACAGAATTTAAAGGAGGAAAGATGCCTGTTCAGTAGCAAAGAGAGCCTATATCTTGTATATTTCTTTTAGATCAGTGCTGCTTGAGTGTGTAGCTAGGCAAACAGATTTATCACAGATGTATGTAGTAGTTTCATCTGGACAAAGAAAGACTGATGATACAATCGGCAGGAATTATGGCATTTCTCACTGTTGCTTTATAAAGAAATGACAACATACGTGTTTCTTGTACTAGCAGAATTAGTGACCACTACGCACTTAGTAATAGTTCACAAGCAGGCCTGGAAAATCTAATGCTTACATTAAAGGTTACTGAAGTGTTTGTTTCTTTGAAAATTCTTATCATTAAATCTTTTAAGAGTTAATTCTCTCAGAAGAAATCACTGTCCTTGCGAATGGATGAACTTACAGTTTTAAGCTAGTTGAGTTTATATTCAGTTAATGAAACTGATGATAAAATAAAAATTGGCTCTTTCTGAGTTTAGTTCAGTTTTATTGTACAAATGGAAATGCTTTAGGTTTTGTGTTCCGTAATGGTGACCTCTTGTGGTGTAAATATGTCAATATTTCTGAAGGAACTTTCTGTAATACATACTGGAGGAAGTTGTATTTATATGTCATTTTTAATGAGCAGGTAGTCTACTAACTTGGAAAAGGTTATAAATTATTTTACTAATTAGTTTTTAATATGCAGATCTCATACTGAGTGCATGTGAAGAAAGAAGCATTTTGAGCACTGTATTTTGATATGCTTTGTGTGTGTCTATACTGTATCTTTTAGTGACCAGATCAAAAAGCCTGGCACAAGTTCATCGTGGCCAAGGAGTACAGGCTGGAAGAGAAGAGTAACAGGTACTTCATAAGGCATTTCAATCTCCAGTCAAAAAATGTGAAATACAGTCAAGTAGAAATAATCTAATTTTTGTAAGTTGAAGATCTTTTTCTTCTTCATTCACTGAACAATCTTCTTGGTTTTCTGGATGTATTGGGTTTTTTTCCTGTTGTTGATAAAGTGAAACAATATTCAAGAGATCTTCACTCTAAAAATCTGTTGATGTTTTCTCTCTTGTTTTTCCCATATGTAGGCTTAAGAATTTGCCAATCCATTAACACCTTGTTTGCCCATCACTTTTTGTAAACTGACATAGTTGCACAAAAACTGATAAAGTTATGCCAAGCTCTATTAGCTGAAAATACAGATTCTGGATTGCCCTGTAGGGATGCATTTTGCTAATTTTACGTAAGAGATTTTAATTAATATTTCTGGATAGCTGGCACGTTTCATACATGGCAAGTGCATATTTGAGAGTCTGGTATGGAAACCTGAAGTTTCTACTCTGCTGTTGTTATGCTTTATTACTGTTTTTCTAGAACAGAGAAGTTGCATTATTCTGGATGATTCTGGGAAAGGCTGTAATGTGGTCAGAGGAGCTGAGAGTATTTACCATGTCATGGGAGTTAGTATTCTGCAGGGCTGTATTTTCTCTGTTTCTGAGCCTTTTAATTTATTTGTATTGGTGCCATTGAAAAAAATCATTATTACGATTGTTTCTTTTTATATCTACTTTTTTAAACATAACAAGGCATCCTTAGTTTGTGCATACTTTAATCCCAGAATAAACAGTGGGATAACAGTAGGAATTCTCAATCACTTATTCTCTATAGTGGGGTCCTGGGGGGAGTGTTCATTTACAGATTATTTCTATTTTCTGATATGATTTGTGTTTATACTTTCACATTTTAAAGAGAAGGTAAACTCTTTTAATATTGATATATTTGTAGCCACTCAGTATTCCATGGAAAGACTAAATATGATAAGTCAGGCAGTACACAGCTTTTGAAACCTCAGTGTTGCTAAGGCTCTTGTATTTACATGCTAAAAACAGCAACCAATAAATGTAGACTGATTAGTGATTTTTTTTTTTTTACCAGAATGCAAAGCTGTGGTTAAAACCTATGAAAAACTGAGGCAATGAACTTTAACTTGCTGAATTCTTTTGCTTGTGTATTTTTGCTGTTGAATTGTGATTTGCTCAGTTAGAAGGTTCAGGACAGCTTCTGCAATATTTTAAAATACAACTAGTGCCATAATTTTTCATCAGCACCTTAAAAATCTCCCAGGACTGAGCCACGTGCAAGTTTACAATTTATTAATGTTGCTTTTCTTTATAATCATATATTTCCTGTTCATTCCTATTTCTAGGATTAATATTGTTTAGTAAAAGCTGATTATCTTTTGGTTTTTTCCTAGTTACAAGAGATATTTGTTTAAAAAAATTATGCCATTATGACTTTTAGGTTGCTATATTTTTCTGATGAACGTGAGACAAATTCAACAGAGTGGCACAAAAAATCAGTTCTTTTTGTTCTGAACTAAAAATTGAATGGCTTTGTTAATTATTTTCTAGTGAGAAATCTGGTCATATCTGCAAATGCATACATGAACTACTCTATTTCTTGCTTAATAAAATTAAGCATGTGCATAGTTAGAAAGTCAGTCCCATCTTTCAGTTTAAGAGAGAGAGCTACAAATTGGAAAGAAAAGAAATAATTGAGTCAATATGTGGGTTTTGTGGCAGGAAGGAACAGTGCAAACTATTCTAGTGTTCTCATTTCAGCTGTGCTCTTACATTATCCGGGGCAGAACTTTCACTTCATTGCAAATGCTGCATAGTGTTTTATTAGTTAAGCTACTCATTAAATAAGACTATTATCTCATTTGATCTGGAAAATAAAAAAGATCTGCAAAGTAAGTAATAATAATATTACCTAATAACACGTACTTATGCTAAATATGTGTACATGCACACAAGGACAACATATAGTTATTGTAGATTCATAGAATGGTTTGGGTTGGAAGGGACCTTAAAGATCATCTAGTTCCAACCCCCCTGCCATGGGCAGAGACCCCCTCCACGAGACCAGTTTGCCCAAAGCCCCATCCAACCTGGCCTTGAACACTTCCAGGGAGGGGGAAGCCACAGCTTCTCTGGGCAACCTGTGCCAGTGCCTCACCATCCTTGTAGTGAAGAATTTCTTCCTAATATCTAATCTAAATCTATGCTCCTTCAGCTTAAAGCCATTACCCCTTGTCATATCACTGCCTGCCCTTGTAAACAGTCCCTCTACAGCTTTCCTGTAGGCCCCTTCAGGTACTGGACAGCTGCAATTAGATCTCCCTGGAGCCTTCGCTTCTCCAGGCTGAAGAACCCCAACTCTCTCAGCCTGGCTTCATAAGAGAAGTGCTCCGGCCCTCTGATCAACTGTGTGGCCTTCCTCTGGACCCATGCCAACAGGTCCATTCTTTCTCGTACTGGGGACCCCAGAGCTACTCCAGGTGGGGTCTCACAAGAGCGGGGTAGAGGGGGAGAATCACCAGTAATAACATACTTACCAGTGTATTACTTATGTAACAGCAGCATTTTTATATAATCTGTTGAAACAGATATAACTGATAGATTCATTCTGTTTAAAATATAGGTAGACAGTTAATACAGATGCACAAAAAGAGTCTAGATCTTTCTCTTTTTTTCTTGAAGAGCAAGCTTTTTAATTAGGAAGTTTTTAATTGTTTCACTGTTCCAAGTAATGCTCTGTGGACAGTAATTTTTTTTAAGGTCTGAGATACTGTTCTCATGATGCAAACCTCTCAATATCAGTGTTCTCATGTAATACAGTATTTTTTGTGTTTGATAATCATTATGTTAAGAATTTACATTGTTATTTAAATGCAAGCGCTAGTAATGAACAGTAGGAGACATGTTCTGACAAATCTGTCACTTAAAAAAATGTATACTGGTCTTCATGGATTTCTTCATGCTATTTAGTGGAGTTGTGTGACTTCTATCTCCCTATTTAAAAAAAAAAAACAACCAAAAAAGCCCAAAAAAGCCTCCCAAAACCAACAAACCAAACCCCATCTTTATAGTAACAACTTTGGTTTCTTGCAAGATAAGGAGCTTAACCTAATCTTGAACTCCAAAAATATGCCTATATGCATCTTGTAAGCAATTGTTACATCCTTTAAAACTCAAGTTGCGTAGAAACTCTTGCTCTCCACCTGTAGCGGGCCAGTAGTCAAGACCAGAATTCTGTCACTTCACATAGTGCGAGGTGAATGTGAAAAGGATGTTCAGCAAGTTGGAATAATTCCCAGTGATACTGCATCCATATGAAAGTCAATCTTGGAATCCATTTTTTAACAAACCATGTTTCACAAACTCCCTTGTCCAATTTGAAGACAGATCCACACTCCCAGGCTTGTTTCCAGAAGAATTCTAGACCACTGATTTTTTTATTCTACCAATTTTTAACTTGATGTCTGCTGATAGACTTTTTTGTCTTTTCGAAGCAAAGTATAAAAAAGCTGAAATACTTTTAAAAAAAATTTCTCTTCATAAAATGGAGGTTTCTCAGTCACTGCAGTGGAAATTGGTTGAGGGTGGCCAAGAAAACTGAGAGTTGGTTGCCTTCAAGGTTTCTGACATGTTTATTGGAGGCAAAACATCTTTCAAATGTCTGTAGTTTGCTATTCATTTCCCAAGATGCTGTGTGAGAAATTGTTTAACGTAACAAAGAATAGGAGGGAAACATGTATTTTACAAAAATTTAGTTAAGAAGTTCTCAAAACTAATTGCATGAAGTGGTTAGAATTGCTAACAGGATGTAATAACTAACAAGACTATTTTTCCCTAACTGACCAAAGAGTCAGTTAACCAAACTTAGTGTAATATTGTGCATGTGTACTAGATAAAATTATACCATCCTAGAGGATTGTCTGCAGTATGGACATTTTTTAACACAGAATAAGCTGTCACATGGACACAGAGCTGAAAAATAGTAGGACATGTTGATGTAAAAGTAGTCATTACCTTCCAATTCAGCAATCAAATGAAACATTCATGTCAGCAAACAAAACCAAATCTGGCTTTACAGTAGAGCTTTACATATCAAAACATTTATCCATCTAGTTTTGTTTGAAACTTTTGGGTTTTGAGAAAATGTAAATAAAAACCAAAGCTAGAATAGGTAGAATAACCCAGAATATAGCAAAATGTAACATTTTTAGATTTTTTTTTTTCCCTGACTGATGGATAAAGTATTTGTAGTTATTTATTTGTGTAAAAGTTGAAACCTTCACTGAATATTTGCTTTTGTTTTGAATGTATTTTGAAGGCTTAGAGGATGAAAGAAGAATAAACGAATCAGAACAGGAAGAAATCTTTTGGCATGTAAAGATTCTACCAATTCTGCATGAACTGGAAAAAGGTGGGTAACACTGTTCTTGAAAGGGTGTATTTTTTGTACTGTTTCCTACAGGCTCCTTTGTGTTTACTACAAAGGCATAACGGTAGTTGGACTATGTACCCTTTTATGCTTTCGTATGTCCAGTGACTTTGCAGTGTAAAACTGGCCTGCGCAACCAGCTCTAGGTGGCCCTGCTTGAGCAGGGGGGCTGGACCAGATGACCTCCAGAGGTCCCTTCCAACTTCAACTATTCTCTGATTCTGTAAAAAAACCCCCCAAAATACTAGTTTAGAGAAGATCTTGTCTAATTAAATTACCTTATTTTAGACAACATAGGTCTGCCAGCTTGGCAGTTAGTGGTGAGGTAATAAGAATAAAGTACTGCACAGATTCACTATTTTAAGCATAGAGTGTATTGAAGGTCTCAATTAATTTTAGAAAACTAAGGAAATCTTAATGAAAATTTTGATTTGTGCTTAAAGTGTTAGATGTCTCACAAAAGTATGTAATGACCCAGAATATTGAAGCAAAATTGAGTAAATTAGGTATGGCTTGAAAGATTGAACTCTGAAATCCCTTTTAATGTTTCATTGAACAGGTTGTTTAGGTGACTTCTACAGACATTATATTTATTTGAATGCTGGGAATATAGAAAGTAGATTTGTTTTTACCAGTGGTTAAAAGTGAGTGTCAAATTAGGGGATTGATTCTGTTTTGGGCTATCTTTTGCAGTGTTCATTATAGTATGGTACAGATTAGAAATATTTTTTTTGCATAATTTTGCAGATGTTGATGAGTATGAAACACCTGTACAGTACTGAGTGATTCCCAAAATATATCATTATTTTAAAAAGACAGGATTCTCATTCCCACAGCTGCCACTGATGTGTAGAAAAACAGCAGTCAGGAAGTTTGAAAACAACTATGCAACTTCACATTTTCCTTGTTTAATGCTGAGTTTGTCAAATATGAGCCACTGAGTTAAAGTTTTGCATAGTGATATGTTCTTTATAGGTGAGCAAAATATTATTTAGAAGTAAAATCTAATCATGTCTTTCCCTTGTCATGAATGTAACTAAGGGAAACCAATTTTCATGCCCCTTTTCCTCGGTCTTTACTTGATTTTGGTTAGTGTGTTGGGGTTTTTTTAGCTTTTTTAAAAAACTTGGATATGGCTTAGTTTTTCTAATAGGTGAAATTATCTAATGATACTTTCTCACCAGTTGCTTGCATGTTGTACTACAAAAGCCTTAAAGTTAAGAGTTTTGCTGCTGCTTAAACATTCACACAGATTGTAACTGAATTGCATCATTGCCTACTGCAGCTGCATGTCATATTGCTTTATTTAGACTGTTTACTGCGCAATTGCATTTTTTGCTATCAAAATGAATATGAGAATTCCATAATTTTGATGTTTTGAGTGGGTCTGTTGGTAATTCAATAATTTTAATTTGGTGTGCAGTCACGTGCTTCATACCTTTCAGCTAATTCCCTGCACGTGCATTTAGTCACATTTAGTTTTTTATATATTAATAGAAAAGCTTTTTTTTAAAAGGGTGGTCTATAGACTAAGGGAATGATATCAGCATATTATATTATATCAAGGGATGAGAAGGGTGGTGGTGGTGGTTAATGAGGATGTATTGAATTGTGTAGGACCTGAGCGTGACATATGGAATAGGGGTAGATAATGTCCTGGTTTCAGCTGAGGGGGTTAATTTTCTTCATAGTAGCTAGCATGGGGCTATGTTTTGGATTTGTGCTGGAAGCAATGTTGATAATATAGAGATGGTTTTGTTCTAAGGACCTATTGTTGAGCAGTGCTTACACAGAGCCAAGGTCTTTTCTGTTTCTCGCACTGTCCTGCCAGCGGGATGGCTGGGGGTGCACAAGAAGCTGGGAGGAGACACAGACAGGACAGGTGACCCAAACTGACCAAAGGGATATTCCATACCATTTGACATCATGCTCACTTTATAAGAGGCTTAGGGAAGAGAAGGGACTGGGGGGGCAGCAGTGTTCAGGGTGATGGCATTTGTCTTCCCAAGTAACTGTTACGTGTGACAGAGCCATGCTTTTCCTGGGGATGGCTGAACACCTGCCTGCCCATGGGAAGTGGGGAATGAGTTCCTTGCTTTGCTTTGCTTGTGTGCACGGCTTTTGCTTTACCTGTTAAACTGTCTGTATCTCAACCCACGAGTTTTCTCACGCTAACTTTTCCAATTCTCTCCCCCATCCCGATGGGGGGGAGTGAGTGAGTGGCTGGGGGGTGCTCAGCTGCCAGCTGGGGTAAAACCATGACACTTCCCCTTTCTCCCTCAGAAGTATTTGCAGGAAGCTTTCCATTCAAAACCAGATCTGAAGTTTAACCTGGAACTTAATTATTGTCTAAAATGTTGTGACTATCATGTGCTTGAGATGATTGTTATATGACAAAACCAAATATAACTCCAAAGTCTCTTTTTCTAGAAGAGCCAATACTTTATTTTGTTACATTCCAGTACTCAAGGGAGGATGAACTTCAGAAATGCCCCATGGGATGAGTAATGAATAATTTTTGTTGTTAATTTTGATGAAACGGAGTGGAGACCTTTCAGTTTTGGTTCCTTGCCACTCCTGTTTCACTGCTTATTGGAGCAGAGGGTTTAGAATCATGCTAAATTTTGTTAAATTTTCTGTCATGATGGGAGTAGAACTGGAATAGTCATTGCTTTTCCTTGAGTATGATGATTGCAAATTGAGAGCTTCCAGGCACTGCTCAGCATGAGAGGTGGGTCCTTGAATCTGCCTACAGGTTTGGGGCCATATATATAATGGGTTTTGTTGCAATTTCCTGTCCATATATATTTCATCATAAGTGCTTTGCCTCCTTGAATATGACTTTTTTTCAGCTGTGAAGTACCTCCTGAGTAAATGTGGAGTTTATACAGGCAGTTTAAGTGGGTTTACATGGTGCTTTATTAGTGTCACCTTATAGACAAAAGCAAATGTAAGAAAAAAACCCAAAACCACAAGCCCCTCACTCTTGAATTTGAAAAATAGTCAAGACTTTTCCTTTTTCCTCTAAAATAAACACATATATGATTCTATTGTGTTGAGATGCAGATTTTGTAATAATTTACTGAAGGTTTTATTTTTGTATTTTTTAAATAGTGTCTGAGGGACTCAGGTTAGGAGGTAGATGACTTTTTTGTCAATAGGCCAACCATGCACTCAAATATATCTTGCACCTCTACTGTGCATTGGGGAGTTCTAACGAGTTTTTACATTCACTTGTTCTTAATCCCAGCAAGGTTTGATATATTAGGTTATGTATATGGGCAGGAAAATATTCTTTAACTGTTTTTCACATGTAATATTTGGTGAAGCTCTGTGAAGAATGTATTCAGATTCGCAGTTTCCTGGTAGACATTTGCTCAGTCTGATTATTAAGCATTAAAAGTGAGTTTCATTTTTAGCTTTAGGTATTATTTTGGCTCTGTGATTTCTTGGCTTGAGTCTCTTCTTTTTGAAAGAGCAGAATAAAACTTTCTGAGGATCGCGTTATCATTTTAAGAGATTTATTGGGTGCCTTAGTTTTGTTGTTGTGCAACCTGTTCTTTATTTTGTTCTCCTGTGTCTTTGTCTATTGAGATGCTCTGGAAAACTGATATTTATTTATTTTTTTCCTCTCCCTTCCCACCCCCTTCAAGTAGAAGACAATATAGAAAATCTTTGTCTGGCTTGCATCAAGCTCTATCAAGCCTTGAATGAAGGAAACATGCTTGGAAAAAGATTTAAAAGAAGAAGTGTGCTTCTGAAGACATTATATAAACTTGTAGACATTGATTCAGATCCACTTTGCCTGAAGGTGGCAAAGATTATTCTGGCTGTAAGTGTTTCAAAATGCTGTTTGGTAGAATGTGAAGCTTAAAATTGTGAATTACATCTTGCATTTAATTTTTCACTTTATACTTCTAGACTGTGTCTAAACTAACCCTTTCCTAAGCACAATTTCTTGCCATATGGATACTAGTCTTCCCATTCATCCAGATTGGCGCTTGCTGGAGCCTATTTTTGCAGAGAAGTCATGTCTAGGGGAGAAAGGAGGGACACAAAATAGGATAGCTGGTGTATGGTGGCAGGAATGTTGCTTAGGCATGGGAAAGAGACGGTGTCCTGAGCTGCAATACACCTGGAGGGATTTAACAAAACAATAATTTTTAAAATTACACATGGAAATGAAGCTTAGTTTTTAAATAATATCTTGACATTATTTAACACCTTTTTCTGAAAATACCAAAACAATTTTTTTTGAAAGTGACTAAATGTAATTATCTCTTTCTCTAGTATTTCCAGTTAAAACTCGTAATTAAGTTGATGCTTTTGAACCTATTGGTTCAAATTCTGCTAAGTATGTATGGACAGTCACTGGTGAAAGGATACCAGCTAGCATTGTGTTGTAGACATTTTAGTAATTTGTGCGTGTGTGTTGGTGGGGGTTCTCTTAAAGTAGCATGTAGTTTTTTTTAATCAGAAGATATAATTGTATATTCAGATACTATGTAGATGTTAAGTGGTGCTTATAAAAAAAAAAAAAAAAGTTCTGTTATAGACTTTTCTGCGGGATCTTTTACAAATCCACCAACAAGAGAAGAAATTGTCCTTGAGATGCAGAGGAAAGGAAGAGACTTGTCATTGTATTTTTAACACTTCACCTTCGTGGTTTTTCAATGACCATCATGGGATTTTGTTTTCTGATATTTGAGAATAACTTTCATTATGACATGTCCTGTTGTACTGGAGTTCTTTGTGGGATGGCCATAGATGCCAAACTAGTGAATCCTGTGCAGAATTTCTTTGTAAGAGTGAATTAGAGGACAAAAAACCCATGCAAGTTATTGATATACTACCTGCAGAAAATACATGAAAAGTTTATATATCATCTGTTATTTTAAAGTCAGCACAGTTACAGCTTAAACTAGCTTTGTTTCAAAGTCCTTTAATTCTGCAAACTTTTCAGTTTGGCTCAATGTGCAGTCAGAGTTTCAGCTGTAATTTAATAGTTCTGTGAGAATACAAGTTTGCCATGGTGTCTGAACTTGTAAAATGTTCTGTTCCATATTTTTGTGTAGGTTTTAGTTGTGATTTTTATGTCTTTTATTTTTGTTGCAGATGAAAGTGGATGAAAAAAATCTTCTCAGTGTTTGCAAGCTTGCCTTTAAAATTTGCAGGAATAAAAAAAATGATTACATCATTCAAAATGATAGATTATTGGGTATGTATTCTGCTCTTGTATACAAGTTAGATGTTGAAATTTAGTAGTTAGGCCGATCATCTTTCAAGAAACATTCTCAGAATTAACTTAGTCATGCACTGAAAATTGCCTACTTGGTCAAACTAATGGTCCGTCTAGTCCAGTATCCCATGCGTAATCATGGCAATTGGGGGTGCTGATTAGGGAGAGCATGGAAGCCTACGTGTTTTCTGTGATCCATTTTCCCCCAGCATCCAGAATTGTTACATTCTGTTAGGGACATTAGATGGTGCATCCCTGCCTAATCCTTTTTAGTCTCTCTTTATACATCTTTTGTTCATTAATTTGCCTAATTCCTTTTTCAACTTTCTGATTCTGCCTGCCTCTACAATGTCATAGAGCAGCAACAAGATCCAGAAGTTCTCTGTCTGCTGTTTTAAACCTATCTACTTTTCATCATGCCCCTGATAGTAGTTTTGCAGGATTTTTAAGAGTTTCTACAGTCAGCTTACACTCCACCTTGACGATTTTTTTAAACAGAGGTCATATCATATATCTTTGCCTTCTCCTCTTCAGACTGAAGCATCTCAGCCCTTCAGCTCTCTCTTTGAAAGAATATTTTGTCATTCTCTCAGTTGTTTTAGTACCCCTTCTCTATACCTTCTCCATCTCCAGTAGATCCTTCTTGAGATGTACAGAACAAAACTCTCTATAGAAGTCAAGATGTGTCTGCACCAAATTTTATAGAAGTGAAATAATGCTGTCTCTGGTGTTGGCCATCATCAGGAAGGATATTGAGAACAATCATTGGCTTTTTTTAGTTGCTACTGCACATTGAGCCAATGGTTTCAGAGAATTGTCAGCAATGGCTCTAAGATCGCTTCCGTGATTGTAACTGTATTTGTGTCATCCACTTGCATCTTGCAAATACGAGAAATATGAAGAAAATGACAGTGTATGAATGATACTCAGTATTGATTGATGGTCATTCCTTTCATTAAAACTTCGTTATGTTTTATTAACATGTGCCTTGACCTTGCAAGCATATATTCATGTGCATAAGTTAAAGCATATGTGTATATCTGCTTAAATAGATGAGAGTATTCATGGTCATAAAGTTTAGTATATGAGTGTTGTCAGAAATAAAACCCAGATATGCCTCTCCAGTAGTAAGATCAACAGGAAAGGACTCAGATTAAAAAGAACAGCTCAGATTGCTCAACTGAGTATGGATACCGAAAACTACAGTTTTGTAGCGATTAGCATCGTACAAAAACCTGGACAAGTTGAGTGGTTATGTCTGTGTAAGCATTGGTTTTTTTCATCTCATTTCCAACTTCACCCACTTTTCTTTCCCTTGCTCTTCTTTCCCTGTATTTTAAAAGTAGTGAAGGAAAGAATGGTTTTGGTAGCATTTTGTTTGTTTGTTTATTCACTGTTTATAGAATCATAGAATGGTTTGGGTT